ACAAACACACACACATGGTGGGAGTGCGCCTCCCCCAATCACGTGGGATCACTACCCTCCCAGCCCCTTCCCAAAACTTCTAGCTTTGGCTCCCTTCCTGGCAAAGGGGCTGCCGGAGGGCCGATTTCAGCCCCGGCGCTGTGGGGTTTTCTGACCCACCGCAAATGGAAGCTCAATTCTGGTTCAAGAAGGGCGGGTTGTTGATCTGAATGGGGGAGAAATAAAAGGAGGGGGGGGAGAAGCGGGAATCCCTGGCAGGGAACGGTGAAGAGAGCAAAGAAAGTGGAGGGTCCCCTTAGGGAGGGGAATCAAGGAGGTCCTTGCACTTGAGCTGCAGTTCCCCCCACCCCCGCAAGACTGAAGGGATTCCCCCCCTCCCACTTTCGCTCTCTGAGCCGAACGCTCCCTCCACCTTCAGGTGAAGTAAGAAAGGACTCTGCCCGGAGACCGATGACACTCACGCAGGGAGAATTCCCATTGGTGCTTCCGCTCGTTCCTTGTGAGTGAGGGCGGGCTCCCGCCTGAGGGGATCTGTGCTCTGATTGGTTGCGGCGGGTGGAAAGGGGGACTTTCCCTTTTCCCCCCGCCTTTTTCTTCTCTGGGCTGTTTGAATTTCCCTCAGGATGTTCCTAACGCATCTTTCAAGCGGGGAATCAGGGAGGTCCTCGCCTCAGTTCAGAACCCCGATTCCGCCTGTGTGGCTGGGACCCTCCGCGTTTTCCTCTCCTCTCTTTGGAGGCGTTTATGGGGCGGCATCCATGGGCTCTGCTGGGCTCCCCCTGATGCTGCTGGTGAGGGCGCTGGCCCGGATCCCCGGGAGCGAAGTGGGGAAAGACCCCGGTAAGGAGCGGGCTGGGCCGGGAGAGGAGAGGGGATGGGTTATAAAATGACAATGTCAACAGCATATAAAGAAAACTTGTATAAGATGTTTTACAGGTGGCACCTCCCCCTAACAAGAATAGCAAGAATGTTCAAGAACAAATCTGAAAAATGTTGGAAGTGTCATCAGATACCTGGCTCATATTACCATATGTGGTGGACGTGCATGGATGCTAAAAAAGATTGGACTAAAATCCACACATGGTTGGAAAAAGTGACAAAAAAGCATATAGATTTGAAACCAGAGATATTTTAATTGGGAATTTTATCTGAAATATATAGTAAAGAATTGAAATACCTGATTGTAAATATATTAACAGCGGCTAGGATTGTATTTGCTAAAAACTGGAAAAATGAGGAAATACCAACACAGGAGGAAGTTATTAAGAAAACCTTGGAATGTGCTGAAATGAGTAGATTGACATTTGAAATCAGAACAAGAAGATAAACAATTTTATAAGATTTGGGATCTATTCTATCAATGGTTAGACAATAAAACATGGTAATGAAATATATAGATTTTTAGAATATAAGGAATATATAAAGATGTATTATTTTCATCATATCTACAAAATAATTATAGGATATATTTGAGATGGTAATATGAACTGTTATAAAACGAATTAAGTAAAATATGGATTATCTTGTAAAACATGAATGAATAATAATATAGTCAAATCATTGATTAACAATGATATTAATGTATTTAGGAATATTTGATTGATAATATAAGAACATATACAATGTGATTGTAAGTGAAGACTATGAAGTAGAGGCACAAAACAATTTGTAAACCAACTGACACACTGTATGTATATATATGGAAGATGGTTTGATGTTTTTATGTTGTGTTTGTCTATGTCTTTAAAAACAATAAAACTTTTATAAAAATAAAAAAAGGAGGTCCTCGCCTCAATTTAGAGCCCTGATTCTGCCTCTGGGGCTGGGACTCTCCGCGTCTTCCTCCCCTCTCTTTGGGAGAGCTTGTGGGGCGGCATCCATGGGCTCCCCCTGATGCTGCTGGTGGGGCCGCTGGGCCAGATCCCTGGGAGCGAAGGGGGGAAGGAGACCCCTTGGTAAGGAGGGGGCTGGGCGGGGAAGGGAAGCCCCGGAAAACCCTCCGCACTAGATGACCTATAAGGTCCCTTCCAACTCTGATTATCTGTTAATCTGACTTCACGACTGTCATCCCCACTTCGGGTCTGAGCCTGGTGCCAAGGCCAAGGAGGGACACTAGACACGAGGTGCTGGTTTTGAGTTGGGGTGGGCTGCGATGGGTTCTCCCAGGCTCGGCTGGTTAACGTTATGGCTGGTCCTGCGAACCGCCAAATCCCAAATCCCTGGCTGGGCCCTCTCACCCTGCCCCACCCCTCCCCGGAGTCTCCACGCAGCCCATTTTGGATGCAGGTAAGTGCAGGGCCCACGCGGAGCCCGGGGAGTGACGAAAAACGGGCCTTCCAGAGGTTCTGGGAGGCCAAACCCACCATTGCAGGTAACTATCTAATCACCCGTTGGTCTTTTTAATCCGGCCTGTTGAAGATTGGTCCGTATGTAACCCCGGCCACTTTTCGGCTGCTTTCAGACGTGTCGAGAGGAGGCAGTTGAGGCGGAGAGCGAGCAGGGCGCCTGGCAGGCTTGTCAGGTGGAGCAGGAAACGGGGGCAGGAGCCCGGCGGAGCGAAGAGAGCTGAAACCTTCGCGGGGAGAGAAGCCGCCGAGCCGGGAGGAGCGCGGGATGCTGCCGGCTCGCCTCCCTGCCCCTCTGTCGTGACTGCGGGAGAAGGATCCCCGAGCGCTGCCCTTGCGGCCGCCACCAATGGAGCCCCACTTGATTTCTCCTGAGCCGCATTTGATTTGGAAGGGGGCGCGGGAGGCGGCGCCAAAGGAGCGCTCTGGGGTTTGGCCAACCGCCCGCTGAGCAGCTCCGGGCTCCCCACCGCGGCTGGCAGACCTTGGGGTTGCGCTCCAGAACCCAGTGCCACGGGACGGCGAAGCCGAGCGGCGGGAAGAGGCGCGTCAAAGCTGCAGCGGCCGGCTCAGATCTCTTGGTCCCGGGGATTCCCCCTCCATCGAGGCTCAGGCGCTCCACCGAGGCTCAGGCGCCTCGGTGGAGGGGGATTCCCCGGGTCCAAGAGACCTGAGCCGGCCACTGCAGCTTCGACGCGCCTCTTCCCGCCGCTCGGCTCAGGCGGAGCCTCGAGCACCGCCGGCGGCGAAGAGCACGAGAAGCGCAATGGGGCCACGGGAAGAGCTGCATCCCAAGGAGCGAGTGGCGGCCGGAGCGGCCAGGACTGGCAGTGGCGGCGAGGGCACGACCTGCGCGGGGGGCGCCTGGGGCAGTTTTCTCCCGCGCCTGGCTTCGGAGAGGCCCGCCATGCGCTCTTGGTCTGGCTCGTTGCGCCCTGGGCGCGCCTTTCCCTCGCCTCTCAGCCAGCAGCAGCAGCAACAGCAGCAGCTCCGCCGCCGCCACCTCCCTACCCTAACGCCCGCTGTTGTGTGATGCGTATTCCTGTAGACCCGAGCACCAGCAGGCCGAGACTGAAGAGACTGAAGGCCGGTCTGCTCCCCCCAATTAGACGTTGGTTCAAGAGGGAGGGTCAGCCCTGCTACTAATTGGTGGTTCACAGTTTATCCGTGGGCACTGGAGGAGTTATGTTTTGGGGGGGTGGGCGTTTATTTATTTTTTGTAAGTGGCCAACTTGTGTAAACTGAGGGGGTACATTCATACATACATACATACATACATACATGCACACACACACACAGTTGTTTATTCCTAACGGAAGAATCTGTCTATCTATCTATCTATCTATAATGGCCTTTTATAAAATTGGTTCGGCCTTCGAACACAGATCTGATTTTCCATGTGGCCCCCGACAGAAATTAATTGCCCACCCCTGGTCTAGGGTCTCCTGCTTGGGTGAGTGGGGGGTTGGACTAGATGACCTACAAGGTCCCTTCCATCTGTAAACTCCGTAAACATTTGTTAAGTGAATTTTGGCCCATTTTATGGCTTTTGCCATAGTTGTTAAGTGAATCACTGCAGCTGCTAAATTAGTAATCCAGTTATTAATCCGGAATCTGGTTTCCCCCATTAATTTTGCTTATCTGAAAGTTTGCAAAAGGAGATCACGTGATCCCAGGACACTGCGGCCGTCATAAGTATGAAGTTGCCAAGGGTCTGAATTTTGATCATGTGACCATGGGGAGGCTGCAATGGTCGTAAGTGTGGAAAACAGTCATAAGCCACTTTTTCAGTGCTGTTGTACTGCTGTAAATCGAAGACTAGCTGTTCCTTTGCAGACTGTCCCTTGCAAGCAGGAAGCTAGTGCTTCCAGATCATGCTTTGCTGGTTAGGAGCCAGATATCTTGAAAAAACTAATTTTCCATAGCCAGTGTTTGTTGTTTTTTTGATGTTTTGCAGTGGGGCAGGTGAATGGTCAGTAAATGAACTGTTGTAAATCGAGGACTACTGTATTCTAAATTAGAATTAGTTTGAATCTGTCTTCTCTGGAAGGAGGGAAGCTGAAAACCTTGCTTAGTTGGATAACAGATGTTTGGGGGAAAAGCGTAATAAAAGCAGAGTTTCATAAAAAAATAGTTTGTACCAATAAAAGCAAGCTTGGAACAGAGGTGGGTATTCATCAGGTTCTGACCAGTTCTGGAGAACCGGTAGTGGAAATTTTGAGTAGTTTGGATAACCAGCAAATCCCGCCTCTGACTGGCCCCGCCCCCATATATTCTTCGCCTCCCATCGAGTCCCAGCTGATTGGCTGGGTCTCCTTTGGTTGCCCTGCACAGGAGAACGGAGCTGGAAAGCAGGTTAGTGGGGTGGGGAGGGAAGGGGGATTTTGCAGGATCCTTCCCCTGCCACGCCCACCAAGCCACCGCTATAGAACCGGTAGTGAAAAAATTTGAATCCCACCGCTGGCTTGGAAGAGTTCAAAAGTCGGGATGGAGCCACAAAGGCATAAAAATAAGGCAAGGGTTCCATTGTAGCTATGGCTACCATCCTGACTTTTTAAAAAACCCTTCTTGGAATACCTATTTGCAAGGACATTGACTCAAAACTCCTGAATATGAAATTCTACAATTTTTCTGAAGTATTCCAGTTTTCAACAGTTCGAAGAAAAATCTTTATTAAAGATTTCATTACATCACAGTAATCCAATAACTGTCAAGGACTGCCAACAACTTTGTTAATTCAAATATTCATCTGGTGGATTTGGAAGAAATTATTTTAGGTCATTTAGATTTGCTGATGAAAGTTGAGTTTCTGCTCTCAGATCCATTTGGAATAAAATGCTCTCCTTAGAAAATTCCTGCATATATTTGCAGCAAGTACAAAACGTTTATAGAAACAAAATAAACTCACAATTTATTTTCCTTCAAAAATAATTTCACGATTATAATCAAGGTTTAAACTAAATTACAGCTCATTACCAATAAAATGCTATCAACCAAATATCCACTAGCTGGATTTGAAGTAAACTATTTGAAGTAAACTATTAATTTCACTTCTACTCTAGTATAACTAAGCCTGGACTACCATTGTGTTTACCCCAGGCCCCAAACCACAAAACTGTCAGAAGTCAAATACACAGTGTGAGGACTTAGTGATTTTTTTTCCAAAAAAGGATATTTTTAGCAGTTACAAAAATAAAAATCAAGCTATGCGTGTATTGCCACTTTGCTGATGCAGCAAATGACAGAACGTGCAATGTTGGCGTTATAAGAAGCACCCTGAGGTTCTGATTGGTCAAGTTACTAGTCCTTATTGTTGCTAATTTAAACTCAAGGGGAAAAAAATAGGTCAGTGATGCCAGTGGAATCTCAGAAGAGTGTGTGGGAGAATTTATGCCAGTCACGGGGTTAGAAAGCCTTTGTGTTGTGCATTTCTTGAGTGATAAAACTGATCAGAATTACAAACAGTGGGGCTTCTGCAGGGTGGAGAAAAGAAATAAAAAACCAAGATGGCAGCCACAATAGTCTAGGCATCAAACAATATGGCTACTCTCTTGGTTTTTTTTTTTTTAACCACACCCTAAAAATATTGCTGTGCCTATTTTTTAACTATAAGAAGGACAGATCATCAAATCCATTTTGAGGCATCAAATCAAAACTCTGGAAATATCCCAGTTTAGTCCTGTGGTTACTTTGTGGTGAGTTCTATTTCAACATGGCCAGGATTCAACCATGGTTGGAAATGTGGCATTCTGCTATCCTATAGGGATTCCTGTAGAAAAATCCTCATGGCTATACTTTGCTTTTTAAAATAATAATAATAGTAATAATAAGATGGATGGAAAATTCCAACAATTAGTGTTTCAAACTTGGCAGCTTGAAGATGGGTGGTCTTAAACTCCCAGAATTCCTTAGGCAGCATGGAGGGTTCTGGGAGTTGAAGTTCACACATCTTCAAGTGCCCAGAAACAAGTACATAGAGTATCAGAAGGTCCTCAATTTATGAGCACAATTGGGACCAGAATTTCCATTGTTAAGCAAGGCAGTAATTAAGTCAGAGCAATTTGATGACCCTTTTGCCTGGGGAATTCTGGGAGTTGAAGTCCACAAGTCTTAAACTTGCCAAGTTTGGGAACCTCTGCCCTAGAGTCAGACACGACTGGACAGAGAAACCTTCACCTTTAGCGTAACTCTTCCAGACATAACATCTGTGCTGAATTGGCAAATTAGTGTTTCCCCCCAAAGGAAAATAATGAAATATAATTAATAAATCATAGCTGGAATTTAGCAACAATGAGGATTAGCAGTGCAGATTACAGAAGCAAAGGCACTTTAATCATCCTGCAGGTCGATCCTAGGATCACACTGTGTATCAAATCTGAGTTAAGTTCCTTTTCTCAGTTTCCCAATTTGAAAGTCTTTTTTGCAGAAGCTGGCAAATATTTTAAGTTACCATTAAAACAACATATATAGGGAGTCCTTGATTTACAACTGCACTTGGGACCAGGATTTGCCTTGCTAAGCAGGGCCATCGTTAAGTGAATCGGCCCTGATTTTACAACTTTTTTTTTTACATGGTTGTTAAGCAAATCACTGGTGGTGGTGAAGTGTATCAGATGTTAAGTGAATCCAGTTTCCCCCACTGACTTTTCTGGACAGAAGCCAGCTGAGAAGATCCCACAATGTAAAGCTGCAATTGGAACAAATACAAGCTCCCAAATTTTGATCCTGTGACGGTAGGGAGGGTCCAAGGGTCGTAAGTAAGAGGATTGGACTTCCATCACCTTTTCAGTGCAGTTGTAACTTTGATTGCTAAACAAATGGTTGTAAGTCAAGGACTAGCTGTACGTGTTTTTATTTTTCTTCAGTATTTTCCCTAACACTTTCTTCCTTCTGACGCGCACTTTTTATAAAGCAATTGTCCTTCATTTAGCATAGGGAATGTATGGTTTTCCCCACTAACCTTTGCACTGTCATACAAGAAAACATAAAATTTGGAGACGTACAAACGGAATTCAGATTGCACTAAAATAAACCTTTAAAAAACATATTTGCTCTTTATTACTCCTCCTCCTACAACACCAGTAAGAGCTGCTGAGAGTTGTGGGCTGCCTCTATCACCCTAGAAAAGCAACTAGGATTAAAAGTTAAAGCACAACTTTTAAAAGGTAACATTTTCTAGCTGTTTTCCAACTTAAATATTCAACTGGCATTAAGGCATGAATGGCCCACCACACACACTGCCTTCAAAGAGCTGAGTTTTTCTTTGCCAGGCTGAGGGGACTAAAAGTCTGTCTGGAAATGTAAAAAAAAGAGAGAAAGAGAGAGAAAGATTCCTTGTGCATTCTCTGAAGTTAGTTTCTTCTTTTTAACAACTGTCCGAAATGTTGATATGCACAAAGAGGGTGGCAGATGGGTATTGATCTCCGCTCTTTGTCAAAAGGTGAATGTGGCGGTAACCTTGAGAAGGGGAGAAAAAGAAAAAGAAGCATTAATTTTTGTTTTCTTTGGCATATTTTACAAACTGGTAAACTAAGTATGGAAAGCTTGACCGTAAGGAAGGTGGGGCGCCAAAGAATGGAGGCCTTTGAACTATGGTGCTGGAGCAGACTCCTCCAAGTCCCTTGGACTGCAAGGCGATCCAACCGGTCAGTCCGAGAGGAGATCAGCCCTGACTGCTCTTTAGAAGGCCAGATCCTGAAACTCAAAGATTTTGACCACCTAATAAGAAGGAAGGACTCCCTGGAGAAGAGCCGAATGCTGGGAACAGTTGAGGGCAAAAGAAGAAGGGGACGGCGGAGAAGGAGGTGGCTGGATGGGGTCTCTGAAGCAGTAGATGTGAGCTTAAATGGACTCCAGAAGATGGTAGAGGACAGGAAGGCCTGGAGGAACATTGTCCATGGGGTCGCGATGGGTCGGACACGACTTCACGACTAACCTCAATAAACTAAGTATCAGCTCATTTTTTTCGACAGACCGCTAGGTATCAAGGCTGTCCAAACTGGGAAGATGCCATTATTGTTACATTCATCCCCACCATCGTTGTCATCATCATTTATTGGGCATCCAACTCAAATGGATTCTAGATGGCCTACAAAACTAGAACCCTCCCATTAAAAAAAAAAAAAGCTAAAAATCAGACACACAACTTAAAATATAACGATCTAATCAATTGCAACACCGGCAACGGATCCTGCAAGATTCCTGTGCTTGAAAATTACTTTGCAGAAAGGGCTGCTAGAAGGAGCAATTTAGAAGCGAAGGATGAAAAACAGGCTTGACTCCTTCCGTAGTAATAACCGTACACCTTTAATTCAGCAAGGCAGATCCGAAAACTACCTCTGAAATGACTATTTTGCTCCTCTTAATAGGCTTAGCAGGTTGTTTTTCAACTAGGGCATCCTTAAAATGATGTGTGAACATTAATTCTCAGAATTCTCCAGTCATTTTAAAGTGGCCAAGGTTTAGAAGCACTGAACTATATCCTCAGAGCGAACTCAGAATAAAGCAGAAGGATCCATGACAACAACAACAAAAATCTTTCCATAGCTGGGACTGTTCCTCGGAATCATGAGAAAGACTTTTTAACTTTTAAAAAGAAATTTAAATTAATTACAGGTAGCTTACATACCACAGGTACTTACAACCACAAATAGAAACAGAATTTCCATTGCTAAGGAAGGGAGTTATTAACTGTGGGGTTGCCGCGACAGTCATAAGTATGAGGACTTGGTTAAATCAATTTTTTAACGGTTGTTGCAATTCCTTTATTTGGACAGGAGAGGGCAACATTGCTCCAAAACAAGGATCAACACTTGGCTGGAACTCTTTTTCTACCTTAATAACCACTATATTCTCAAGTTACTTCATTACAATACTCATCATTCTCATCCAGCTTCACCTTACAAGATTTTACCCAGTGAGGTAAACTCTTCCTCAATGGGCAAAAAATGCTGGACAAACTTGGGAATTGGAAGAACCAGAAACCATAAATTGGGGAAGCGTCCATTAGAAAGTATTGAAAAGGCTAAAACCCTCACTTAATTTGCCATCTTTTTGGTTCCCTTGCCTCCAAATTCTTTTCCCACAGCTTCTGAGAGAACCTCCACGGTAGCATCCCTCAAGATTCCCAGTAAACTTTCAATTTAATGGACTGTACTAGTATATGCTATACTCCATTAAATCAATAGTCCTCCATTTACAGCAATTCGTTTAGTGACGTTGGAATGGCACTGAGAAAACTTTCCCCACACTTAATTTGGTCGCAGCCTCCCTAAGGTCGTGACATGATCAGAATCTGGGCACTTAGCAACCGGCATGTATTCACAATTTGGGAAGATCATGTATGACTTTCCCGATTTGTTTCCGAAAAAGTCAAAAGAGGAAGTTGGATTTACTAAGAACTGCTTGATTTATTTAAGAACAGTAATTATTTGTTTAATCATTAAAAAAAAGTCATAAAGTTGGGCATGGCTCTCTTAACAACTAGATGCCCTACAAGGTCCCTTCCAACTCTGTTAATCCTTAGCAATAAATTTCTGGTTCCAATTGTGGCTGTACGTTGAGGACTGCCTGTGGTTATAAGTTGAGGACTGCCTTGAAAGACAAAGGTGACTCTTAGAGATAAAAGTCCATTAAGTACAGGTAGTCCTTGACATACGACCACAATTGAGTCCAAATTTTTTGTTGCTAAGTGAGACAGTTGTTAAGTTTTGCCCCGCTTTACATCCTTTCTTGTCATCATTAGGTTAGTAAGACGGTTGTTAAGTGAATCTGGCTTCCCCGTTGACTCTGCTTGTCAAAAGATGACACAAGTAGATCACGTGACCCTGAGACGCTGCAGCTGTCATAAATACGAGTCAGTTGCCAAACATCTGATCACGTGACCATGGAGGATGCTGCAATGGTCACAAGTGTGAAAAACGGGCACAAGTCACTTTTTTCAGTGCTGTTATAACTTCAAACGTCACTAAATGAACTGTTGTAAGTTGAGGTAAATGGGCAGAGTGCACATTAAAATATATATAATGTACAAATTGTTTAGACTTGGTTGAATTTTGGTTATTACAATAAAAATATTGGTTTCGGCTTTACTTAGCATTTGATAGTGGTGTTGAACCTAGCTCACTAAAAAGAAACTCCTGTTAACCATGAATGAGAGTTTAATTAAGGTTTTTAAATCATTATTATACAACAGTTTTAGGTAATGATTGTTTTGCTGCATACGTTCATTTTTTGTAAGAAAGGCATATAAATTTGATTCATAAATAACATATGAATATTTTTAATAATTATTATATAATGGTTTTAGATAATAATTGCTTTGTATCATTTGTTTTATCAGGTTGCCATATGCCACCCGGAGTCATTTTCCGTGACATAGGATGCCCATATAAACTTGATTAAAAATGAAATGTTAATATTTTTGAAAAAGGTAAAAAGAAAAGAAAAAAAGACTCACCTCGCTTCAGACTTGTGAAGGGAGCTGTGAATTGCCCGATAAAATCATTTTTCGTTGAGGCATCAAAATCTTCTACCACAAAACGGACTAGGGCAAGTTGCGGTACGTCAATTTCAAACTCAAATGTTTCATTCCAGGTTGGATTAAAACCTGGGCAAAAGCGAAGTAAAAGCCAAGTATATATTTATTTTATCCCACTTTTATAATTTGTATTTATTATTTATATGTTTATGCATTTATTACATAGAATAACACTGACCCAAAGTCGCCCAGCTGGCTTTCCTGACTAAGGCGGGACTAGAACTCCCTGTCTCCTGGTGATGGGGCCACAAGGCTCCAGTTGACTTCCATGTCTTAAGGCAGGATGTGAATTCTAGCTTGGTTCTTTAACCACTAGAACAAACGAGCTCTCCCAAGCAATTCCGCAACCGATACTTTCTCCAGACATCCCCTGCTCTTACACCCAACTAGCACCCCATTCCAGTGGTGGGATTCATTTTTTTTTTACTACCAGTTCTGTGGCTTGGTGGGTGTGGCTTGGCTTGGTGGGCGTGGCAGGGAAAGTTACTGTAAAATCCCCATTCAATCCTCACTCCTGGGGGAAAGTTACTGCAAAATCCCCATTCCCTCCCCGCCTCACTAACCTGCATTCCAGCTCCGTTCTCCTGTGCAGGGCAACCAAAGAAGACCCAGCCAATCAGCTGGGACTCAATGGGAGGCAGAGAATAGATGGGGGCGGGGCCAGTCAGAAGTGGTATTGGCTGGTTCTCCAAACTACTCAAAATTTCCACTACCAATTCTCCAGAACTGGTCAGAACCGGCTGAATACCACCTTGGCCCCATTCCCATGACCCACTTAATAAGAAAGATAGCATGTTATGGGAATACTGGAGCACAAAGATAAACAGAAAGCTAGAATGCTGCGTTTGGCAATACATAAAACATGGAAATCAATTAATCCCCAGTTTTAACCTTAGACGCATTAATATAGGTAGGTCTCGACTTATGAGCAACCCCTTAGCAACCATCCAAAGTTACAACGGAGCCAGAAAATGGGACTTACAACCCAGTTTTTAATTTCTGAATGTCCACCCCACGATCATTTATGATCTTTTCCAGCATCTTGTGATCACAGGACCACGATTTACAACCCTATTTATGAGACACCGTATTTACTTCCAGTTTCTGATAAAATAACACCCATTTGCTCAATGACTGTGGCATTCATTTAATGACTGCCTCAAAAAACGTCATAAAATTGGGCCAGTTAAGTGATGGATCGCTTAATGACCGGCATGATTTCTGACAATAATTCTGGGCTTGGTTACAGTCATAAATCGAGGACTATCTGTACTCCCTAAGTTATGATTCCTTGCTTGGTCTCTCTCCTCTTACTGTTGTCCCAAAGGTGCTTTTCCAAAAGGCAACTGGACTTTCTTGTTTTTCCTTGAAGACGTTTCGCTTCTCATCCAAGAAGCTTCTTCAGCTCTGACTGAATGGTGGAGGATGGAAGGATTTATATTCCTTGCAGTCATCTGGTCATTAGTACTCTCTCTGAGAGTCGTTGAGGCCACTTTCGTCCTCCACCATTCAGTCAGAGCTGAAGAAGCTTCTTGGAGGAGAAGTGAAACATCTTCAAGGAAAAACAAAGAAAGTCCAGTTGCCTCTTTAAAAAAGCACGTTTGGTACAACCACGAGCTGGATAATTTGAGGATCTCCAGAGACATTCCTCTTACCATTGTTATCGATTACTTTGGTTTGGTTCTTCCTGTTGTCCCGCTGAACACCGTGGATCTCCACAATCACCCTCGGGTCCACAATGGAATTTTTGCTTTTGTTAACTTTTGGCAGTTGTTGGCCAGAGATAATCTGCAAGAAAAAGAAAGTCAAAAGAGAAAAGCAAGAGCTCAAATTCTATGCAGAGAGGCCCATTCTTTGCCCATCCTAACCTCCCAATACCCCATTCTATAAGTGCGTGCAGAACAAAATATCATCTTTCATTTCGACTTTGACATGGCTCATCTCAAGCGTGAAACAAGTTGCTTTGAAACTGGGAATGGTTTTAAATGTAAAGCGGTATGTTTTGCACTCAGAGCAGACTTTGAAAGTTGGGATCTTCCCAACGGAAGGATGTTGTTTTCAGTACTCAACTTACAACCGTTCATTTAAGTGAGCCATTTAACATTACGATGGCACTGATTAATAGATTAACAGAGTTGGAAGGGACCTTGTAGGTCATCTAATCTAGTGGCCCCAAACCTTTTTTGTGCCACGGCCCATAACCGGCATCACAAAATGATCCGTGGCCCGGTACCGGCATCAGCACACATGACAAGGCAAGGCGAGCCGAGCGACCGGCCAGCCAGCCATCCCCCGCTTCTCCCCGCCACCTTCAACTCCTCCTTTGTACCTTTGTCGATGGGCTTCGCTTCGGGACGGCTTCGGGACGGTCGCTCAGCTCGCCTTGCCTTGGGTGCTGAAAGAATCCTCGCGCCTTAGTTTCGTTCGAAGCCCCCCCCCCCTTCGATGAAACTAAGGCGCGAGGATTCCTTCAGGACCCAAACGCCGCTTTCCAACCGGAAAAGCTCACCCGGAAGCACTTTCTCGTCAAACAAGATGGCGGCGCCCAGCAAACCGGCGGCCTGGTAGGAAATGTTCCATGGACCGGTACCGGTCTGCGGCCCAGTGGTTGGGGACCCCTGATCTAATCCACCCCCCCTGCCCAAGCAGTCCCTACACTGAAAACAGTGGCTTATGACCATTTTTCACACTTACCACCATTGCATTATTCCGATGGTCACATGATCGAAATTTGGACGCCTGGCAACTGACTCATATTTATGACAGCTGCAATGTCCCAGGGTCAGGGGATTCCCTTTTACGACCTTCCGATCAAGTACAATCAATGGGGAAGCCAGATTCATTCAACCACTTTGGCAAGAAATGGGGCAAAACTCACTTAACAAGTGTCTCACTTAGCAACAAAGATTTTGGGCTCAACTGTAACCGTAAGTCGAGGACTACCTGCAGTTTTCATATTCTCAGTTAAAAGAAAGCTTTAATACAGATCTAGAGGTAGCTGGAATCGCCAAACAAAATTTGAAACGGAATTATGTACATATGACGAATATGTACAGATATTCCCTGACTTATGACCCTTCAAGGTTATGACTTGCCTGAAGAAGGAGATCTTACAACCTGGATCCGAAGTTCTGATGGCTATCCTCCCTGGTAGTCACATGATCACACTTTGGGCACTCAATATCATGTGATCCTGTTTTGCTGAAAAGTGACAATTTCTTCTCGTTTTCAGCCAAACGGTGTCATGGGTTCATTTAATAATGGCAGCAAGGCCTTAATACCCACATCAAAACGTCATAAAATTTGGGTTGGTCATGTGACCGGCCCTGTTTTAAAACCATTAGGATTTACGACTGTAGGGAGGAGGCTCCATTACGGTCATAACTCAAGGACTGAATTATTAACTGTAATAGCAAAACTGCATAATCTTCTATTACGATTTGAAACAGACAAACAAGAGAAGGTTACAGACTTGGGTACTTCCAAAAAAAAGTTCAAAAACATCCCCTTCCCCACTGATAAATGGCTTTTGCTTTGGCCAGAAGATGTTCCACATGCAAGACAGATCTTTGGATTATGAACAATTTTATGCACTCTTAAACATCTTTGCAAGCCTTTTGTAGATTAGACGCAAAAGTTGCCCTACCAGCAGGCAAATATGCTGAAGAACTGCGCTAGAACGTGAGGTTATGAAAACGGATTTTCTTTCTCCACTCTTACCTTAACCTGGAATTTTTTAGGGCTGTACCACGGCCCCTCCGTGATGGATCTGGGATTGAATTTGGACTGCTCGTTCCGAAGAAATTCTGGCTTTAGGATATAGCCACAGCCTCCGTTTTCTTGGAATTGGCCTTGGTGTATATCCATTTCTGAGCACCTGGACTGGAAATTTAAAGCAACTGGGAGAAAATGTAAGAGAAAGACAAGTCAGTGATTTTGGCTATTCACCCTCATCATTAAAATCATCCTCATCATCTCCTCTTCCTCCTCCTCCTCCTCCTCTCCAATCATATTTTATCTAGCTGATAGCTTCATTAGCAGCTATTGTCTATGGAGATGCTCAGTCCTCCAAGTCCTGGTTGTCCCAAAGGTGCTATTTTCAAAAGGCAACTGGACTTTCTTTGTTTTTCCTTGAAGTCACTTCGCTTTTCATCCAAGGAGCTTCTTCAGTTCTGAGTAGATTCACCCTTCAATCTGAACTGATGAACCTTCTTGGATGAGACGCAAAACGTCTTCAAGGAAAAAGCAAGAAAGTCCCGTTGCCTTTTGAAAAAGGCACTTTTGGGATCAGCAACTATTAAATCCTTAAAGGTAGCTTGTGAGAGAGATCACAAATAGAAGTAGTCCTCAACTTACAACCACAACTGAGACAGGATTTCCCTTCCCAAACAAGATGGTGGTTATATGAGTTGTGCCCAGTTTTGAACCTTTGTTGCCACCGTTACTAAGTAAATTACTGCAACTGTTTTTGTTAAGTGCTTGTTGTGCAAATCTTATTTTCCTCTGACTTTGCTTGTGGGACGGTGGAAGGAACTGAAAACGGTCATGACATTGCCCTTAGATGCTGCAACTGTCATGAGATGTTATGATGGGGCTGAAAAGAGTGACTTACAACTGGTCCTCACACTTATGACTGTCCCTGTCCCTGCCGTCACTTAATTACAATTTGGGCCCTGAATTATAAATCCCAGCCAGCTTCCAACATTGAAATTGAAGCTTGACTTGCTTAATGCTTGTGTGATTCACTTAACAACCATGGTAAAAAAAAAAGTCATAAAACTGGGTGAGTCTTACTTAATGACCACTATGCTTAGTGATGGAACTTCTGGTCCTAATTGTGGTCATAAGTTGAGGATTACCTGTGTACACTTAAGTATAAAAATGAAGCACCTTGCAAAGCAACTGTTGTCATTGTTTTGAACAATATATCAGCTGCCACTTATGCTGCTAACACCCTTCCTTATATCAGCCAGTTTGATTCCATGTTATTGACTTGATTAAAACAGACCCACCAAAAATTTAGGAGCATGTCTGCTTAAGTCCCACTGATTGCAATGGTACGGCTGCTTCTGGATCCAGCCCAATAATTTAACAACCCGAAAGGGCTTACACGTATCCTCAATATAGTTACCTATCTGGCAACCCAAGTTCCACATCTCGACCGGGTTGTAGTTGGACGAGTCAGTCCTCCAACCTGCTGGATAGATCCTGCTTAGGTGCTGGACATTATAATGCACTAGGTCAATAGCTGGATGAAAAATAAGAAATAAGACATAAATTATTAATTTTTTTTAATGTTCCTTCTCTCAGAATACCCCATATATAGCTGTTCAGTCTGGGTCAGAAAAGAGGGAGGAATTTGGACAAGCAACCCATAAGGTAAAGTTTTTTCCCCTGTCTGATCATGTTTGAATTTTGGGCACAGTGCTCCTCTCTGTGGCTTCACTAAGTGAGGCAGCCTTGTCCGAAGACATTTCCATGGTCATGTGGCCAGCATGGCTGTAAACCAAAGGCACACAGAACACTCTTATCTTCCCACCCAGGTAGTGCCTATTTATCTATTCGCATTTGCATGCTTTCAAACTGGAGAGGTGGGGAGGAACTGAGGCAAGTAATGGGAATTCATCCTGTCCTGCGGCGCTTGGGTCTCAAACCCAGCCTGTCAGCTATCCAGCTAAGAAACTCAGTGTCTTTAACTGCTGAGCCACTGTGCTCCTAAACAACCCATAATTTATGGAATTTTAAGACACCAGACGCAATAGCTACAAGGTGGCTTTTAACAGGTGCATACAAAATGCAGCTATCTGAGCTGTGACCACATCTGAAGCTATTTCCTGCCCAGGAGTGCTTATTTGTAGAGGATTACAAACCTCACTCAGGACTGCCAGAATTGTGGATCCCAGGAGATAGGGGACTATTTGGAGAGCGATCGGAAATTTTCTTCCTCAACCCTCAATGTTTTCTACAACCCTCCTATTTGATCAAATCAATGGATCAATAGCTATTAGTTCAGGAGGAAGGGGGGGAGAGGTGGGAGGGGGGAAGAGGAAGGGGAAGGGAGGGAAGGAAGGAAGGAAAGAGAAGGGAAGGGGAAGGAGAGGGCAGGAGAAAAGGAAAGGGAGAAGAGGAAGGGGAGAGGGAGGGGAAGGGGAGAGGGAGGGGAAGGGAAAGGGAGGGAGATGGGGAGGAGAGGATGGGGAAGGAAGGAAGGGAAGGAGGGAGGGAAATGGTGGCAATCGTAAAGCGAGCACTATACTTGTTAAGTGAACCCATTGGCCACAGTGGGTGTTTGTTGCCGGAAATCAAAACTAAACACCTGTTTCCAGGTATACAAAATATTGTAACACTTGGTCATGCCACAGCGGGAAGCTGCAAATTGCAATAAAGGTGGACTGGTTGCCAAGTACCCAAAATGCAGTGACATGACTGGGGACGGGGATACCATTGGAATTTCCAATTTGTGCCATAATTCTCTCTTTTTGGGGGGCGGGGGTGTCTGTCACAACTCCAAATAGTTACTAAACAACCAGTTGTAAGTTGAGGACTACCTGTACTAAGAATAATCCATTTAAAATGAATATTGGATCAGGAATGCTGCATATCTAGTTATATTCTAAAATCCTTGCCAAAAGCATTAAGAAGATGCTATGTACCTGATTCCTGAGCCACTTTAAGGATTTTGCCTTCGCTGAAAGAACACATCTCGTCAGGAGGCTGTGACTCAGCAAATCCTTGAAAATGGACACTTTTACAGTAGATGACAGTGTCTGACAGCTCCTTGGCAAGCTTTAGCTTGTCGCTCTAGCAGAGAATGAGAGAGAAATGGTCAACCAGCCACATCACAAGCCTGTCTAAAGATAAAACTGGTTTGCAAGGTGCAAAATGTCTCTTTAAAGCAGCCTGGTCAAAGACCAACTCATTAAAGCAGCCACACATGAATCAATAAATCAAAAGAGAGCTGGAAGAGATCTTGAAGGTCTTCTAGTCCAGCCTCTGTACAGTCTCAGACAAGGGACTGTCCAATATTTCTTAAAAATCTCCAGTGATGAAGCACCTACAACTTCTGAAGAGAAGATGTGCCACTGGTTAATTGTCCTCGCTGTTAGGAAGTTGCTCCTTAATTCCAGGTTGCTTCTCCCCTTGTTTCCATCCATTGTTTCTCATCTTGCCTTATCATGTCACCCACTACATCCTTCCTTTCTCTAAACTGACCATACCTAAATCCTGCAACTGTTCCTCATGTTTTTGTCTCCAGGCCTTTAATCATCTTAGTTGCTCTTCTCTCCCCTTTTTCCAAAGTCTTAACGTCTTTTTTGCCGTTGCGGTGACCAAAACTGGATGCCATATTCCAGGTTTGGCCCTACTAAGGTTTCACACTTCAAATGAAACTTGTTAAACCAGCTACCTCTCTCTTTTTTTCTGGTTTACAGGTAGTTCTCAATTTACAAACATAATTCAGCCCAGAATTATAGTAATAATTTGCGTTAGTCATTAAGAAGGTCCTCACAAGCCCACACTTAATTTTAGAATTTTTTGCAGCAGTCATTAAACAAAGACATTTATACCCAATGAGCAATTTTGTCGGAAAGCGAAAATCAATACTGATTTCTGGAATTTTTTTTCAGTGCTGTTGTAACTTCAGTCATTAAATGCAAGTCGAATGCTGTAAGTCGAGGACTACCTCTGTAGATCATGTACGCTTACCAATTTCTTCTTTTCTACCTCACTTTTCACAGTCTCGTCTTCCATTTCAGCGGCTTCATCTTCATCTGAAACCTCTTCTGTTTCTGGAGTTAACTTCTTCCCTTTCACAAGAATTTTCCCTTTTAATTGCTAGGAGATATAACAAAAATGCGAACGGATTATAAGTCGTTCCCTTGACTTACAACCACAATTGAGCTCAAAATTTCTGCGGCTAAGTGAGACAGTATTTACCTGTGTTGTGCCCCATGACCTTTTATGACCTTTCCTGCTGCAGTGGGTAAGTGAATCGCTGAAGTTGTTAAGTTAGTCATAGGGTTGTTAAGTGAATCTGGCTTCCCCACTGACTTTACTCATCAGAAGGTCACAAAAGGGAATCACGTGATCCCGGGAACACTGCAACCGTCATAAATATGAGTCAGTTGCCAAGCATCTGGATTTTGACAGTTTCCTAGTATGATTTGATTGCTTATTGTACCCTATGACTATCTGTATCTTTTCTGAGAGCATCTGCACCAAAGACAAATTCGTTGTGTGTCCAATCACACTTGGCCAATAAAGAATTCTATCTTTGATCATATAACTCTAGGATTGGTGCAGTGGTCAGAAGTGTGAAAAACTGTCCTCCAAGTTCACTTTTTTCAGTGTTGTTGTAACTTTAAATGGTCACTAAATGAACTGTTGTAAGTCGAGGACTACCTGTATAATGGAGTCAAGAAAATAAGGTGACCAATTCAGGGCAATCCTCTAACAGAACAATGGTTGACTTCACAGGTATTAACCAAATACTATAAACACAGCAGAAGAGAAATGGACTTTAGAAGACATATAGCACCAGCACTTAGCACTTAGACTTATATACCGCTTCATAGTGCTTTTACAGCCCTCTCAAAGCAGTTTACAGAGTCAGCCTCTTGCCCCCAACAGTCTGGGTCCTCAGTTTACTATACAAGTAAACAACAAGATTTTCTGATTCTATCTTCATTACAATGAATCACAAAAGACTGAGATCTTTTTGTGTTGCAATCATGGAAACAGCTCCGAGATCAACGCAACCTTCTTATTGTGAAGTTTCACAAGCAACTTAAAATACAGGTGGTCCTCACCTTATGACTGTCAGGGTTCCGACAAAGCCGCTCCCATTCAAATCATAAGTCTCTAGCTGCAACTCTCTTTATTAGGAGTGACCATGTCGGCGTTAGCTGGGTGCAGCCGACACTAAGGGGCATCATTCATTTCCCCCTTGACCCCACCCCCTGGATGTGTATTCTCCAATGGGACACATCCATAGCCAAGAGTCATCAATTGCGCTCTCCAGTAATAATCTTGCCTGCCGACAGCTTCAGCTGCCTAACAATTATCTGAAGCATTTGAGGAATGCACTGCTTTCCCCCCTCCCTTTCTGCTGGCAACTAAAAAGACCAAAGGAGTATTTTTTAGTTGACAATGACCAAAACTGAAACCAAAACTTCTGCTGCTAAGCAAGACAGTTGTTAAGTTTTGCCACATTTTATGACCTTTCTCGCCACAGTTGTTAAATGAATCACTACTGTTGATAAGTGAGTAACGTGGTTAAGTTGCCAACCTGAATCATGCGACTATGGTTCTAAGTGTGAATTAGCATCATAAATCTTTAGTTTTCATAGCCGTTGTTACTTTGAATGGTTATTAAATGAATGGTTGTAAGTCAAGAATCACTTATAACTTTTCTTTAAAAGAAATAATAATGTCAGACCTTTGAGGTAGACAGGAAATAATGCCAGATTATTAAGAAGTTTGATTAGGAAACCAAACTTATATAGATCAATACTAATTTTGTTCAGTCCTTGACTTATAACCATTCATTTAGTGATTGTTATAATGTTATAACATCACTTTAAAAGATGCTTAGTATGACAGGTCCTTGCACTTATGACAACTATAGAATCCCCATGATCATGTGATAAAAAAATTCATCGCTTGGCAATCCGCATGTATTTACCAGGGTTGAAGTGTGGGTTATATGATCACCGTTTGCAACCTTCCCAGTTGGCTTCTGACAATGGGGGAAATCTGGATTTACTTTTAACAACTGCATGATTCACTTAACCACTGCAATGATTTGCTTAACAACCATGACAGGAAAGGTTGTAAAATCAGATATGACTAATTTAACAACCCTCTTGCTTAGTAACAGAAATTCCGGTCCCAATTGGGATTTTAAATAGTGGACTACCTGTAATAAAGTTAGTGTAGACATCTGGCTGACTGTGCAATCAACCATAGTAATAGAAAAATACAGATTAACAGAGTTGGAAGGGACCTTGGAGATCTTCTAGTCCAACCCCTCTGCTCTGGTAGGAAATCCTATATACCATTTCAGACAAATGGTTGTCCAATCTCTTAAAAGCTTCCCGTGTTGGAGCACCCATAACTTCTGGAAGCAAGTTGTTCCACTGGTTAATTATTTCTCACTGTCAGGAAGTCTCTCCTTAGTTCTATGTTGCTTCTCTCCTTGTTAAGTTTCCACCCCATTGCTTCTTCTCCTGCCTTCAGGTGCTTTGGAGGATAGCTTGACTCCCTCTTCTTTGGGGCAGCCCCTGAGATACTGAATCACTGCTATTACGTCACCCCTAGTCCTTCTAATGAACTAGATATATCCAATTCCAACAATCATTTTGCACATGTTTTAGCCTCCGGTCCCCTTTTGGTCACCAGTGACTGGTTCTGTGGAGATTGGTTTTTCCAGAGGGAGTGTGGTCCTGCATGCTGCCTGCAACCCACAGATTCACTTGTTTGTGTGGTCCGGTTGCTGGCATGCCACAGACCTATGCCAGTCCATGGACTAAGGATTGGGGTGACACCTGCCCTAATCTTCTTGGTTGCTCCTCTCTGCACTCTTTCTAGAGTCTTGGCATCTTTTTTTTTACATCTTGACGACCAAAACCGGATGCGATATTCCAAGTGTGGCCTTACCAGGGCCTTATAATGTGGTATTAACACTTCACATGATCTTGATTCTATCCCTCTGTGAATACAAGCCCGCCAAAGTCATGCAAAGCTCACCTCTGGGGAAGGCAATTTGGTTCCTTTGGGATCAATTGGTGCCACCAGCAAGGTGTCCTTCAAAATGGAGTGGAGGTGGTGTGCCATCATTTTCTGCTGGTCAATGCTGCAGTGATTCTCCAGAGATATAATGACAGGATACGGAGAGATCTGCATGGGAAAGGAACAAGCATTGGTCAATTGCAAAAGGCAGCTTTACATGGGATAAAAGTCTGTAGAGATTCTCAATCTTCCAGGTCATGGTTGTCCCAAAGGTGCTTTTTTCAGGAGGCCACTGGACTTTCTTGTTATTTCTTTGAAGATGTTTCGCTTCTTCAGCTCTGACTGGATGGTGGGGAATGGAAAGATTTGAAGAGAAATATAAGTCCTTCCATTCCACATCATCCAGCCAAAGCTGAAGAAGCTTCTTGGAGGAGAAACGAAACGCCTTCAAAGAAAAAACAAGAAAGTCCAGTTGCCCTCCTGAAAAAAGCATCTTTGGGTTTACAATTGAACAGTTTACAACCATCAGGCGTTCACATCTGCCTAACCCAGGTTCTTGGGAAGCATTCGATAGGCTGGCAAAAATGCCAAATCCAGTCTGAACACCTGGCTGACTGTGCTGTGGACCATGATAATAATAATAATAATAAATGGGGTGGAATCTCATAGCAATAGCACTTAGCCTTATATACTGCTTCACAGTGTTTTCCAGTCGTCTCTAAGCGGTTTACAGAGTCAGCCTGTTGCCCCCAACAATCTGGGTCCTCATTTTACCCACCTCGGAAGGATGGAAAGCTGAGTCAACCTGGAGCCTGGTGGGATTTAAACTGCCAAATTGCAGTCAGGGGCAGGCAGCAGAAGCAGCCTGCAGTACTGCACTCTGACCACTGCGCTACCAAGTTTAGATAGCAATAGCAATAACGCTTAGACGTCTATACTTCTTCACAGTGCTTTTACAGGCCCTCTCTAAGCGGTTTACAGAGTCAGCCTCTTGCTCCAACAATCTGGGTCCTCATTTCACCCACCTCAGAAGGATGGAAGGCTGAGTCAACCTGGAGCCTGGTGGGATTTGAACTGACAAATTGTAAGTAGTTGGCTGCAGCAGAAGTAGCCTGCAGTGTTGCACTCTAAGCACTGCGCCACATGATATCTCTGAGAGTGAAATCCTTAAAACTTTTGAGTTAGACATTTGAAAAATATTTGACCCTTATAATGATTGCTGTGCTGAATATGCTGTGCCACCCTATAGCTTAAGAGCCTGCTTGGCCTAATGCTTAAGGCACAGGCAAGAAAGTGGGAGACTGTGAGTTCAAGTCCCAACTTAGACATGAATACTAAATGGGTGGCTTTGAGCCAATCACTAGGAGATGGTGAGTTCTAGCCCTTAGCTATAAAAGCCAACTGGGTGACTTGGGGCCCATCGTTCTCCGTTAGCTCAACTCACTTCACAAGATTGTTATTGTGAAGAAAATAGGAGGAGAAGGAATATGAGGTATATCAGCTATTTGTAAAAATAATAAAGGCGGGATATGAATAAATAAATAAATGAGTTGTTTCCATAGCTGGAAAAAAGGTGTGTTTTATGATGGTTTTGAGATGTGTTTTATGATGGTTTTGATGGTTTTTTTAAGATGGGTTTGTGTGTGTGGCATTTTTCTCTTATTCAACACCTTCCCATTGTGTCAAGAGAACAAGAATTGTCAGCAATTCCCTGAAGTGTTTTTTTTTTTTGTAAAGAAAGCCACACGCTTGATTTGAGCTGTACTGCAAACTTCAATTTAACTAATTATTAGCATATAGTAGCCACTAAATCCAAATGTTTGTTAAATCCAAATTGAGGTCATTTTTGCAAACTTATGTTGTTCTGTCCATTTAAGTTATATGCATCAATATGTGCCAATTTACATCATTTGTCTAATTATATCATTGGTGTAATTCAGCAGTCCCTAACCTTTGTGGCTTGGCTGACCGGCTTGGGGTGGGAAGGGAGAGGTGAGCTGGGCTATAACGAGTGTTGGGCTGGCATGCATGCAACTCGCGCTGTGCACACACCGACCAATCACTCGCTTGGCCCCAAGAGGTTGAGGATCCCTGGTGTAATTTACACCATTTATATAATTGGTTTGGATTTATAGAATTCGTACGAACGGTTTAGAAAGAACACCCTTTCTCAATTATTTGGGGTTTAGAACTAGTTCAGCCTAGTTAATTAAGATACTAGTTTAGAAACCAGGAGATGGTGAGTTCTAGTCCTGCCTTAGGCAAGAAAGCTGGCTGGGTGACTTTGGGCCAATCACAGGGAGACTCTGCATTCTAGTCCTGCCTTAATAGAATGGAATATGAAATATAGAATGTGGAATATGGAATGAAACAGAATGGAACAAAACTAAATAGAAAATAAGGAACGGAATGGAATATAGAATGGAATGAAATATAGAATAGAATGGAATGGATTGATGGCTTATAGGAATAGGAGGGGGAGGGGGGGGGGGGGGGGGAGGGGGAGGAGGAGGAGGGGGAGGAGGAGGAGGAGGAGGAGGAGGAGGAAAAGGATAGGGTTAGGGTGATTGGCCGCACAAGGAATTAAGTCTCTGGCACATGAGCTCACAGTGTACTTATAAACAGCAAAGTAAACTTAAAGAGCGGAACAAACTGTCTAACTTTCTCATATTTAATATTTAAATATTTAATCACTTTTTGCATTTAAATCTTTAGAAATCTGGCATCTCCTCGGGTTCAGAAGAGAGAAGCCATCTATCCTGACCTTGAAAGCATAATTCTTGATGGCTTTGATGGCATCCCTGAAGAGGATCTTGGACGTAAATGTGTAACCATGGTAGATGACTGGCTCAGAGTTCGGGCCATCCCAACAATCGAGTTCCACACATCGGCAACCTTTCATCAAAGCTCTGCGGAAGAGACAACATCACAACCATTTGGGGTGTGGGTTTTCAATTCTCCCCCTTCCCCCAAGAAGGTAATGTTAAGAAGGAGCACCAGCCAAAGACCTTGGAAAGTGTTGGCCATTTGGGAAAGACAGCTGTCAAGGGCTCCAACGTGCACCGCCATTCAAATCACAAGTCTCTAGCCGCATCTCTCAGAGTAAAAAGTATTGATTTATTAGGAGTTGACATGTCGGCGTTTCCTGGTTGAAGCTGACTCAGACACATGATTCATTTCACCCTTGACCCTGGTCTTCCCCCCACCCCCTGGATGTATATTCTCCAATAAGACATATCCATAGCCAAGAGTCATCAATCATGCTCTCCAGTAATTTTGCGGGCCAACAGGTTCAGTTGCCTAGGCGATTATCTGAGGCATTTAAGGAATGCACTGCTTTTCTCTAATCCTTTCCTGCTGGCAACTAAAAAGACTAAAGAAGTATTTTTTTAGGTGACACACTGCAGTTTTAACTTAGTAACATGGTTGTTAAGTGAATCTGGCTTCCCCATTGGCTTTGTTTGTCGGAAGATCATAAAAGCTGATTGTCAGGGCTCCGACAATCAACCCCCATTCAAATCATGAGTCTCTAGCCACATCTCTCAGAATTTTTTACAAAATAATTTATTAGGAGTGAACATGTTGGCATTGCTTGGGTGCAGCCGACTCTGAGACACAACATTCATTTCACCCTTGAGTCTGGTCTTCCCCCAACCCCCTGGATGTATATTCTCCAATGAGACACATCCATAGCCAAGAGTCATCAATCATGCTCTCCAGTAATCTTGCGGGCCAACAGTTTTGGCTGCCAAGGCGATTATCTGAGGCATTTAAGGAATGCACTGCTTTCCCCCACTCCCTTTCTGCTGGCAACTAAAAAGACCAAAGGAGTATTTTTTTAGTTGACAACAGTCACAAGTGACTTTTTGCAGTGCCATGATGGCTTCGAATGGTCACTAAATGAACTGTTGTAAGTCGGGGGACTATTTGTAATCAAGATGGCAATTAGGACTATGCCACTAGCTGATATCTTGATTCTTTTACCCAAATCACCCGGGGCCTTGACCGCTAAACCAATGGAAAACAGGGCCAAAATCTGGCAGGATTCCAACCTATTCTGCAATTTGGGCATTTCCAGCTACAATATTTGTAGATTCTTTTGAAGAATGATCTTGCCCTGAGACTGGATATGGGGAGGATCTGATAGATGGGCAATGGGCCTTGATCCTGCTGCCCTGTGCAGAATTTAATACACGTCACAGAAAGGATAGATAGGAGATGCTTTTAAAAGAAATAACACTTTTGGCTTTGTTGTTTCCAGAGTGCAGCCATATGCCGATCAGTGGGGTGTTAGCTGGTCTCTTACAACCCTACCACTGGTCACACATGTAGACAGTGATCAGTGTAAAGGTGTTGGATCTGGGCCTCCAGATACAAAGTTCATTGGTTAGATTTGCAGGGTATCTCTGGGGTTAGTTTTTTTGCAATATCCTGGAAACAGCATTAAAACCACAATGCCTTTTTTTGACTGTGCTCTATGAGGTTGTGTTTAGTCTAGTTTCTCTCTCTCTCTCTCTCTCTCCCTTTCTCCCTCCCTCTCTTTCTCTCCCTCCTTTTCTTTGATTCTCTCTCTCTCTCTATCTTTCTCTGTCCCTTTCTTCATTTCTCTCTTTCTCTCTCTCTCCCCCTCTCTGTAGATCTCGCTCTATCTGTTTCTCTCTTCCCACTGCCTCACTGTCTCTCTTCCCTCCTTCTTCTTTCTGTCTCTTTCTCTCTCTCTCTTCGTCTGTCTCTCTCTTTCCCCCTCCTCTCTGTTTC